TTTGGGGGCTCCCGACGGACCACTTAGCGTCGGGACTACAAATAGAGTGCATTTCGGTTTTAGTGACAACCCTTTCAGTCAATCATATACCGTAGAAATCACTTAAATATTGCCATAAAAAACAAAACTATTAAACAAATGAACCAATACTTTGTCTGTCGAACGGATTGCTGGAACTAATGGTCACATCGTTGCCCACATTGCCGAAGACAATGGCGTCACTCATGTCCACCTCATTGATCGTCTCGATCACAATGGTGTCCATATCTATGTCCCCTTCGCGGTTCATGTGCTCTTGACTCTGATCCACATTCGCCAGAATGTCGTGATTGACGGACTCGTCCACCACATGGATGTCATTAATATCCGGAAGACCTAAATCGGCGCCTATTCTTATGGCCAAATCGTTCAAGTCTTGCGAAGTAAACGCTAAGTCATTATCAGTAGACGAAGAGTTTTGACCTAAAAATACAATCATTTAGACATCATTTCAATCGATAATTTCTAATCTAATCTATTGGTGGTATGTATTTGTATACAAGACTCACTTTTCGAGTAAATCAAAATATTTTTATTCATTTCATACAACTTCTCCACAATTATCATAAAGTCCACAACAAATGCATTAATACACAAACTCTCAGCATTTCATCCGAGAAGTATCGACAGTTCATTCAAAACCGCAAATCATGTGTTCATTATTAATATACTGTATATAATACACACATTCATTGAATTTTTGCACTCAATTCAATGACTTCCCATTGAAAACTGCAATTTAAAACATAAAACAATTGACAATTTGTAATCAAAACCATTGCATCAAAAGCTCGACTCATAGCTAATTGTTTTCAAATTTGTCACAATTATATCGATTGGTTTTTAAAATAATCTAAACTTTATTATCGCATAAAGTCTGATAGAGTAGTGAGTACTGTATATGTTGTATACATGTTAATCTAGATGACATTTCCTTTTAATCTCTTAATAAATAAATAAATTTTAAAAACGATTTCCACTACAAAACCCTTCCCTCAAAAATTATACAAACAATTTGATTGAGACATCAATTTGTTATCAGTTTCTCTCGTATTAAACGTGAAATTTAGATACAAGTCATGAATATAAACTAAATTTCATGTTTAATACACACCAAGTAGTCTAACAAATGGTTACTGAAAACATTCATGAATTAAATATTTGCAAAAAATCGGCTTTTATTTTCAAAACACTAGTCAATAGTTTGCTATCAAATTTAAAAAAATATACAAAACATTAACAAATATTTTCTCATTTCAAAGCATATCTCAAATCGATTTATTAGTCAATCAATGCATACATCTATACACGAGATAACTAAACGGATAAATAGCTAATGAGAAAAAACACACCAAACTCATGGTTAACTTGAAAATTAAAATTACAATTCAAAACACTTTTCGCGACACAAATATCATACGAAAAAGTGTTTCTCAAACACCAAACAAATGCCAACAAAAAACAATTTTCGGTGCATTCAAAAAGGCACACAATTTTCTCCATGTATTCACATTCATGTAATATTCAACGCTAACTAAATACTCATTCATGGCAATTGAATTGAACGCTAAACACAAATTGCATAACAATTAACTCAATGAATACATAATTGATGTTTGAATTGGAGATACAGTTTGCAGACAGAGATATCCCGAGACAAACGCTGACAACCAGTCAGTCCTTGGATACTAATCGCACGCATTTCTTATGGACGTAGCGCGCGCTAAGGCTATGGAGAGGGGGAACAGGAGTTGCATAGCGTTTGTACTCTTCAGCAAACTATAGCGTCAATCGTTGCCATCTTTGTCGCGGAAATTTTCAAAACATATTTCATTGAATCCATTCATTCGGATGCCGTTCGCCACCACCGATGGCCACCACATCCGGCACGCGGACACACACACAGACATAGACCACAGCACTGCACACCACATGAAAATGAACGCAAACACAACTCATGAGACACACAATCCATGGCAACGCCTCTCAATGAACGCGATTAACAGGCGTTAGTTTGTCGGCGTTTGCGGCCATAGGCGGCCCCCTCGTGGTGGGCGACCATCGGGTGCGGCAATGGGTGAGCGAAGTAGTGATAAGCATATGATTACCTGATCTGCTGTTCATCAAAGCCATCGTCGGTTTGTTTGCGAAGCGATTGTCAACACATGTATTGAGTGTAGCGTTGAATGTGTTGTGATTTACAATTGA